ATATATATATATATATATATATATATATATATATATATATATATATATTTGCTGTGCCCTGTAATCACAACTATCAAAACGTGTCCAGTTTATTTCGTTCTACATCCCAACTATAGTCTCTTTGTTAAAATGTTATGCTTAATGCACCATTTAAAGAAAGTACCAAATATATATTGTTTTAAAGAGTTTTTTAAAAGAGAAAGTCATGATTTACTTTTCCACGATCTAGAGAGTTTCTCCTCCACGCGGTCCAAGAATGCGCTGTACGCTCCTCTTCTTCGTCCATGTCTCTGTGAAACAGACATTCAATGTTCTTATTAATATAGTTATGTATAATATCACCTGTTGTAAATTATAGATATCACCCTTTCTGTTGGACTAAATAATGTAAAACACAACAGGTAGCTTCAGTCAAGCGATGTAAAATAAACAAGATGTGTTTCTCCATTAAGTATTAGAAACCACATGGTCTGTTGGAGTTAACATATAGATTTGAGTTTTTCTAGTAGATAAACTTATGCATGTTGATATTATGAACTTCCTGCATAGTTTAAAAGCATTATACTTTGATGATGAAAGAAGTAGAAGTAGCAATACCACATTATCAAAGTACTCCACTACAAGTAAAAGTCCGACATTCAAAATTGTACTGAAGTAAAAGTATATTAGCAACATAATGTACTTCAGGTTTCAAAAGTAAAAGTACTGATTGTTATTGGATCATTATTGTAGATCAATATGTAAGCAGTGCTTTACTGTTGGTCGAAGTGGAGCTATCCTCAACTACTTAAACTTCATAGTGAGGTTGTGAGTTTAGTCCATAACAATGCATCAAATTTAATAACACATCATGTGTTTAATATGAAAAATCTTAATCTGAAAGTAAATATATCTGTCAGATAAATGTAGTGTAGTGAAAACTACAATATCTCCCTCTAAAATGGAGTGATCACATTAAATAAAGTCCTTTAAGTCAGGATTTCTACAATCTGCATGATGATTAAGTGATTGTAGTTTGAGTCTGACCCCTTTGAAAAAATAGAAGTGGTTCTTCATGTAGATATGAAGCCTAACACCACTGACCGTATATGAGGCTGATTTTGGAGGCCAGAGCAGCTGAGGGAGAACGAGCTCTGCATCCCATCTGGGCTCTGCAGGTCTATACGTGTCCATCCCGGTCTTGGTATCCCGTGAACTTGAGTTTGACCCGGATCTGGGGGTCCAGACTGGAAGAAAAGACAATATATTCATCCAGTTAGTCATTTGTCCCATTTTACAATGGTGTTTTAAAATGTAAATGAAAAAGGCGAGAAAAAAAAGATGAAGTTAATTCACTTACTTTTGTCCAAGTGTTTTAATTTTAAATTCAGGTTACCAGGATCTCTCTCATATGTAGTAACTATGTCTGGAAGGTCCTCATTGAGCTGGAATCAGTGATAAATAATCAAGAAGGTAAATGTTTTACTGTTGTGTTTATCGCCATCTTGTGGTCAAATCAAATTTTACAATCACAGAGATGTTTGGTGTTCACCATACACAGGACAAATATACAGAAGAAGGTATGAAGCGTACTTGCAGACACGTACCGGTCTGAAGTCATGTGGTTTGGGGTTCTTGTAAGGCCCACAAAGGTACTTCCCACTCTTGACAAACATGAGCTCAGATTCCAGAGCACCGGGAGGCCTGTATGATGTGATGAACTTTGGAGATTCTTCCCTCCGGTGACTCTCGTGTACAACATTGGGTAGAAATATTCCGGTCGTCTTCTTCGTTTCACTGAGGCGAGGCACATCTAGATTTGAATGCGTCTTTCTTTCTTTCCTCTGAGGATCTGACAGAGATCTGTACAGTTTAAGAGAGAAATCCGGGGGCTTGATGCTCCACACGTCGCTGTGGCTCTCCGTCTCGGGCAGAGTGAACCATTTGCTTCTTGCAAAAGAGAGATGCTGACTTGCAGAGAATTTGATTTTGTCTTCAAAGCAGACTCTGGACAGCGGATGCAACAAACTGTCTGGAAACATTTTAGCGATATCTCCTGATCTATAAGTTTAAATCCATAAAGTTTGATCTTGTATTTGTTGGTCTGTCAGGAACACAGTGGGGAGAAAGTACAGCAGACAGTGGCACAACTGCTGATTACAGACACAACACGTAAAAAGTGCTGCTTGGTAACGAGCGCCTTTATTCTTCTTCACAAAAAGAATGAAGTGGGCTGAGCTCAGTGGGACACTCAACAAAAACAGCAACTTAGCAACTGTGCAAACAAAGTACCCTCTGAATAGAAGACATCTTTGTGATGTACCAATCTCGTTTAGAGACACACGGTTGCAGGTGGCTGGCCTTTCTGAGTGGCTTCTTGAGCTTTCCTAGGCCCTCTGCTCGTTCCAGTGAAGCAGCTGTTGTTCTTGGAAGGTCTGCAGACGCTTCTGAATTTCAAAACTCCAGTCGATATTAATTTACAGATGCAGCAGATTATGTGTATTTATAATCTTTCTGTCTTGAAGAAAGAAATCCTTCCATTTAGAGACTCTTAAATCAGAGAGACGTTGTGATGTGCCATAACTTTGTTGACGTTTATATTGTAGAGAGAAATCCTCACTTTCCCAGTGAGTTGGAGAACTACAGTGGCCCTCAAGTGGGGAAAATCCTAAAGATACCTAATCCATAGGATTTCATTAGCATTAGGAGCCACTCTTATCAATATTAGGTTATTTTCATGACTAAATAATTGCTCTAAAAGACATATATATATAATTTTTTTAAACAAAGAAATTCAGAACAGGATTAGATGTTATCTATAACTTAAATATAACTAAATGTTGTTTCTAGACCAGCAACAGTAATGATTTCAACAGCAAAGTTAGTATATAAAGTTATTAATATCTCACTGGAAACAAATCGAAAATGTCCATGAATTAATAACATTCCTAAGTGAAGTTTATAAATGATAATAAAGAATGAAGAACACAGACATCAGATAGTATAAGTCAACAAACAGCTTCTATTTAATCTCCAACGAAGCCTCACCGCCTCTGCTGTATATGTGGAATTAGTTCTGTGTGTGTGTGTGTGTGCTCTTGTCTATGCTTTAATAAATGCTACAATTTCATTGGCTGTCACTAAAGGCGACCGGCCCCTAGTGGTAATATTCTTTGAAACTGATGTCTTTCAAATGTGTTGTTTTTAGACTAAAACAACATGTGAGCTTCACATGCAGTACCTGTCAAGGTTAGCTAAGTTAACTCAAAGGTAATTTTAACCCCAACGGATCTCTAAGAAACATTTACAAGATGGACTTAAGCGGACTCAGAATTTCTAAGAACTTCTAAGGACTTACAAGTCAACTTTTTTTCTCTGGTAAGTACTTTTGATGCAAAATAGACACCATAGATATTGGGTCATGTCATTTTTTTTTGCAATAATCGCTTGTGCTTAAACCTAAGAGTACTAACCTGGATCCTTTGGTCTTTTTCATGCCAGTTAAGGCTAACGTTAGCTAAGCCTCTACATTAGCCAGCTAACATCTAACGTTACAGTTAATTTAACGTTACTAGCTGAGACATTTGTACAAAAAGTACATGTGAATACAACCCAAACATTGCAAGAATCATGCTAGTAATTTAAGTTCAGCTTCAGCAAATATAACTTTTAACGTTACCTAACGTTAACTGCTTCAAGTGCTAACTCACGTTTAACTAACTAGCTAACCTAGCTAACTAAGCTAGCTAGAAACGATCCTCTAGCATCAGTGTCAGGTTACAGAATGAAGGTAAATATTAAACATTGTCTAGAGTTTTAATGAGCTATAATGAACCAATTCATTTGACCAGCTATGTTAATATCTAGCTTACTTTAATTTTAATTAGCATGGAAAAGTAGTAGGCTTATTTCACTGGATACTCACTAAAAAACATCAATAATCTGGACAAAATATTATTTTTTAAATGATGTTTAGAGAGTCCATGATCAGAAATACGTCCATAGCAACACTGGTGGTTATTCATAATAACGTGTAATAATATTATACAAACACCTTTCAGCTGTTTACTGTCAAATATGTATTAGACATTCTAACGTCTTAATGTTTAAATGTTTTAATATTTAGTTTTTAGATGCTAAGCTAATGAAGAAGGACGTTGAATGCAAAACATCGTGATGCCTTTTATGAAAAGGATGAACCGTTTGAAAAGAGCCTTTCAAGGGCACCTTGGTCGCATGTTTACTTCCGGTCAGCTGACTCATTTGCATACAGGGCAACGCGAGATGAACTGGGACACATTTGGAATGTTTACGTCTACAATGGTCGACACAACCGGAAATGCTAAAACATTAATATGTGACAGCTGTTATGTGTGATATGTGCAATGCATGAACTGTTTTTCTTCACTTTAGCCCATTCCTCTGTTCACCTCTCTCTTTTCCGACCTCCCTCCAGAGTAACTCTGCTGTAAATCAATCATGGCTGAAGTGCCACTCATCACACCAGCCGGCGACTCCACAGAGCTGCCGTACCCGGCTCTGGCCCCGGAGGTCTTGGGCCGGTTCAAACAGACCACGAGACCCCGTAACTGGTGTCTGAAAGTGGCCTGTAGCCCATATCCTTTCTTACTGCTGCAAGTTGAACCTGTGGCTGACACCTGGCATGCCCAAATATGTTTAAGAATAATACAAACGTGACTATGCCTGAGTAGATATACTAATATGTATATTTCAGAGTAAAGGCTACACTGCCGCTATTACCACATTGTAACATCGTTTAAACTAGCCATCATTAGTCCCATTAGGTCTTTCTAGTATGTGATCAGCGGTCCTCTGTTGTTGATACGTTTTATGAATGAATGAACATGAGTTGTGACTTTAACCTCGTCCTCCACGTGGTTGGAGTATGTGTCCATACTGGTGAGCCTCGTCAACTGCATGATTCTGCCCGTGTCTGGTCACGAGAGGAGCTACCAACTAGCGGTTAGAGTGACACCGGCACTCTTTTAAGTTTAGACACAATTAAAAAGTCTCCTTTCTCTCCGTGAAAACACACGCCACATACTTTAGTCTACCAAAATCATAACAGGCTAATGACAACCTAAAACGCTTATTTTATATACAATACATCCAAGACGTCCCTCTGTATTTATGAGTAAACACAACAGTGCTCTTGCCACTTATGTTAGCATTAGCATTGTTGTTTCTGCTTTGTTTAACGGTTATTTTTTCTTTTATTATGTATTGCCAGATTGTGGATACCTTTGTCATGGCATTTTTTATCGTGGAAATGCTCATCAAGATGTTGGCCAAGGGAGGCTTTGGCTATGAAGGGAGTTACCTCAGCAACCGCTGGAACAAGTTGGACCTGTTCATCAACTCAGCAGAGTGAGTGTCCCACAATGCCTTTCACTCATGCCGGAAAAATCACTCTTTCTTCTCCTTCGTCTGTTGATAAACAACATCAGTCACCTTAGGAGAACACATCAGCTCTTGGCTTATTGATGAGCAGATTGGTTTCATATTCAGTATTAGAATGCGTGTACATTTTTATTTTTTGCATATGAAAACAGAAAATATAACTTCTGTCGCTGTCCCTTCAGGTTGTCTTACTACTTTCTGGAGTCCCTCAGCCTCGACGTGACAGTCCTTGGTGTGCTCGGGACGTTGCGACTGTTTGGCCGAGTAGCAAGTAAGTCGGCGTTTCAATTTGCCGTGGTCCTCGAAACCTTGTCGTTTCGCCCAGTGTTTCCAAACATACCCACAGTAATTATGTAGCGGTGTTAACGTGGTGGAACATTTCAAGCTTTTAATGTGACTATGGGTGTAGATCGATGTGATAAAGCAGTCTGCTTCCTTCCAATTTTCTATTTTCATTATATTTGAGAAACAACAGTCATTGGCTGTGTGAAAACTGTACTTTGAGGACTACCTTTGGATTCAAACAGGCATTATTACTCCAGCAAAAACATGGAGATAGATGATAAATGTAAACCTAGTATAACATGTCCTCTATCTGGCAAGAACAATGGATGTAAACACTGAAATACCAAAAGATAGTAATACCTCTGCTGTCGAATGCAATTCAAAACAACAATGCTGAAACATACTTTTAATACAAGCCGCTTAGATTATTGCAGCTTTCTTTTTACTGGTTCGTCTAAAGAATCTTTAAGAACATAAATTACAGTTAATTCAGAAGGATTAAGAAGGTCAACGATCTATCTTTAAACTTGAGTGCACATGAATTGAATTTGTCTTGTGTGTGACACAGTTTTAGTCAAAAATAACGACTGACGGCATCTTTTCGTCTTCATCTGTGCAGAAATGCGTGACGGGCGGACACTAATCTTGGACAACTTCACGAGGCCAGATCTCTTACTCCATCTCTTACTCCATCTCTTACTCGATTTCATCGTCACGGTGATGGAAATCCAGGGTGTTGCTTGGATTGTTCTTCAAATCGCTGTTTTTGTCTATCTGACAATTAACAATTCTATAAATTTCGTGTGATTTGTATCAGTTTGTCTTGGTTTTAACGTCACTTACTTTCATTAATCCAGTATAATCCAGTATGCAGAACTTTGGGCAACCGTTGTTGTATTTTAAAATGTGTTGTACACATTTTGATTGATTGAAATAATCTGCCCATTATTCTCTTGATTTCTTGATTATAGTTTGGTCTATAAATTGTCAAATAATTGTTGTTCAAATAACTTGTCTTGGCTGACCAGTAACCAAAATATATAGTATAATATATATATATATATATATATATATATATATATATATATATATATATAGAAATATAGTAAATACCGTGATATAAAAAAGCTTTTCCTCTTTTAATGTGTAAATGCTGAGCAAGACACTAACTCACATGTCTGTCGATGAGAGCATCAAATAATAATAATTCTCAAGAGACTTAAAACATAATTAATACATTACTTAATAATACATTTCACAACAAACCCTGCATCTTGTTTTTAGAACATTATGTTTTGATGTGTCTCCACATTTCTCAATTATTTACTCCATTAAT